CACAGGCCCACCTGCGTCCACTTGTCTCCACCGCTGGGCCTGTATGTCCCTGTCAGCTGCCGCTGGGTCTGTCTACCTCTGCGGGCGGCCAATGGACCTGTATGTCTCTGCCGGCTGCCGCCGCGGGCCTACCCACCTCTGCTTGTCACTGCTGCTGGGCCCATCCACCTCTGCAGGCCACCACCGGGCCTGTATGTCTCTGCTGGTTGCCGCTGGGCTTGTATGTCCCTGTCAGCCGCGGCCACCAGGCCCTTCCACCTCCGCAAGTCGCCGACCTGCGTCAGCCTGTCTCTGCCACGTGGCCTGTTCACTTCTGTGAGCCGCCGCCAGGCCTGAATGTCTCTGTCGGCAACCACCGCCGGTCCTGTCCACCTCCGTCTGCTTATCTCTGCCGCAGGGCCTGTCCACCTCTGTGGGCCGCCGCTGGGCCTGAATGTCTCCGCCAGCTGCCGCTGGGCCTAAATGTCCCTGTCAGCCACTGCCGCCGGACCCGTCTACCTCTGCGGGCCGCTGCCACAGGCCTACCTGCGTCTGCTTGTCTCCGCCATCTTCGATATTGGAGAGAATCTTATGGTTTGGGTGTGGTCTGTCTGGATGACAGTGTGATGTTACACAGTCTTCCTTGTCAGACTTCTATCACATATGGAGTCAGCTTGTCAAAGCCCTTGATAGTAAGTCAACAGAAGAACTCTTCCTCACACACATGTCCTCTCCATGTTATTTTACTCCTCACTGGGGCCATGTGCTGATGGATGTCAGGGTTCTTAGTAATTTGTGTTGTGTCCTCTGAATCTTAGACTATTTCTGATACAATCTTTTGTCTGGGAATAGTGAGCCAATGGATGTGGATCAGATTGTGGCTGGATGGCCTGATGGTAGGTTGATATTTGCCTCACTAGTGAGTTCACAGCTGAAAAGTGGTGGCAATTTCTGAGGAGGCCGTGAACCTGGAGTGTAGAATGTCATGCTTTCAAGGTGTCTCTCGCTTCTTCCAGCCTTCTCAGTTTTCTGAAGATGTGCTGTCAGAGAAAATCAGCAAAGAAAATATGATTCAGAAACAGTTTTGCTTGCCACTGGCAAGAATAATCAGGGCCTAGTAATCCATAGTAAACAAAAGTTAAGGAAGAAAACACACCCCATGAACACCCTGGCTGCTGGGGATGGGACCCAATGGTGGCTGACTTGCCTGGAACATAGTGTTTCTGCACCACCAGTTCCTTCTGCATGAGGCTCTCTTCCTGGGCTGTGGTCTGCTCCAGTTCCTGCTAGAGGGTTTCAAACCTAGGGGAGGAAGGCAGCTGGGGCACAAGCCTGATGGGGACATGCCCTGTCAGCTTTTGAGCCCCCATCAGCTCTACTAATCTAGGCAATCAAGCCTTACCTTTCAGGTGAGTTCATTCCCTGCTTCCCCAAGCCAAAGGGATCAGAGAGCACCTGGGCAGGATTTTTTTCTCAGCTTTTAAAAAGTGCTAGAAGTTGAACTGAAATATACACACTTTGCTGCATTAGAAAAAACAGTATATTTCTCTAACAGTCCAAAAACATCATTTTGGAGAAATATCAGTATGTCAAGGTCTGAGGCACAGGTCAGGAAAGATATCCCTGGCCTTGATTAGATCAAGGTGAATGTGAACCTCCTGGAGAATTCTATGCCTGCCCTCTAGTGGAGCCTACACAGTAATGCAGAGAAGGCTCTGGTTATTCCTACAGCTCAGAACCCTGCATGGGATTACCTTGTCAGCTCCTACTCTGTTTATGACCAAGAGTAAATCTTCTCATGAGAAACTGATAAACACTGCAGAGAGCCTGCAGTCAGCAGGAGTGTGCTCTATGCAAAACTGCAAAGGCTGGACACTTCTCTCTATACGTGATGTTCCTGATGGAAAAGATGCAGGGGACACACTTTCCTTCATGATAAATGATCCTCCTTTCCACATTTCTGGCTGTCATGGGAATATTTGTGGGGAGATCTAATCTAAGAGATGAGATACTCAGCGCATGCTAGAGGTCTCAGAAAGGAAGAAGGGGACACAGTCCCCATGAGACCAAGGAGAGAGCATATTGCTTCCTGTTGACTGAGCCAGCAATGACACTCTGAGACGTTCTTTCCCTGCCTGTGGCTGGCAGCTTTGCCAATTGACAAAACTCAAAGAG